TGCTAAGACAGTCAAGTGAAGAAGGGTAACTCTAGAGGACGCCCTGCTGACCATCAGGACTTGAAAGATACAACTTTCCATATAGCATGATGGTACGAGCCTCTTCTTTTCCCCATCTCCAAAAACTCCAAATCACAGCATCGCAATAAGAAAAGCATCAGTCAGCTGAAGATTTTCGACTTCTGAGCAGAGGACAAGCTAATAACTAAAGCTCTGAAAATCTGAGCTATAATGTGATCTGAAAAACCTGAAACAATGCCACGAAAGTAAAGTTTCCTAATTAAGGCCTTATAAATGTTGTTACTAACTGCTGACCATATTTTACATCCTTCCCATGCTCCATCCCCAATCTGTATCACTCTGCCCAAGCCCCCATAGTCTCTACCCTTAACTATTCTTACCTTCCTTGGCTCCCTCCAACACTGCTTCCTTCCAAACGTATCATTCATACAGCCACGCTGTCTTTCTGCCAAACAGTGCTAAACCAGGCCTTAATCCACTGAAAATCCCAGAGTGGCTCACTGAGTCTGTTCTAAAGGGCTTTCAAAACCTGGCCTCACTGCTCCAGTCATCCCTATTACCATAGCCACACTCAATCAGCTACTGACTCAAAACTGGAGTGTTCCTCCCCCATTGTCTACATGCTGTCTCCAACACATTCTCCAAGACCTCCCTCAAACTCTGCTTGTTAAGGCCCTCTCTTACCCATTCTCACCCAGGCAAGAGCCTGTCCTTCCTCCTCCAAGGTCCCACAACCTTTTATGCACTTCCCTGGTTCTGGGGCAAGGTTGTCCATTAGTGTTTCCTTCCAACTAGCCAGAGGGCACCCCAAGAGAGGTGGGCGTGCTCACCTCTGAGCCCAGCATCTAGCAACAATGACTGAGCACATGCTGAGTAACCAAAGTATGTGTGCAAGCAAGTCTAAATTTTTTAAACCATGTGGCAGTGGTAGAGCAGCTGCCCAGCAAGCATGAGGCCCTAAGTGCAAACCCCACTACTGCAAAAAAAAAAAAACACAAAGAGTAAAAACCCTTATTGAGCACTTACTGTGTGTGGAGACTCAGCTAATGTTTGGCATCAAAAAGTCAAGTAAGAAAAGCATATATATATATATCACACACACAAGCAAGAAGAGCCAAAATAGAAGTAAAAAGTGAGCAGGAAGGCTAGATCAATGCAGGATGGTGATCAGAAAAAAATGCCTTTTGGCATTTATGCTGATGTTTGAAGGATAATGGCTTCAGAATCACAGGGTAGGAAGAAAAGGAGCAATCAGGCACAGACACCCAAACAAATGGTGACCAAGGCAGGAGGATGGCCGTAGGCGGTCCTCACAGGGTACCATTTGCCTCCTGCACAGTGGTTTGGGGGACATGGGGCAGGGTGGAGCAATCCCGCCAGACAGGCAGGGTGACTTTAGACCTCCCCACAAGTCTCATTTAAACATGCAAACACGCTGAGCTCCCCTCCATGAGCTGTCAGTCTTGATGCGAGGTGCCCAGAATAAGATCTACCCTACACTGAACGCATAAAGGCGATCCTGAGACAGAATGACCATTGATAAACCACGTAAAAACATGGAAGTTAGCCTTCCTACACTCTGTGTATAACATTTCCTAAACACTTAGAGGAACTGCACAAGGTGACAGAAAAAGGCAGAACATGTAGAAGTTTAACTTATGACCCTCCCAGAAAGCTGAGCCTTGTGGTAAGGCCAGAAGACTTTGCCACCAATTAAGACTCAAACTCTAAATGTCACAATGTACCCCCCCATTACAACAATAAAATTAAAAAAAGACAAGAAAGAAAAAGAAAAAAGACTCAAATTCATTCTCCCAGTTCTGAGTCAATTTTTGCATTTTAAATTTCAAAAGACAATATAATTTCAAAATTGGCAATGTAACAAGTCACTTTGAGAAATGAATCGCATACAGCTTACAACCAAATTTTGTTTTTTTATGTCTATTCAAGAGGGTGGGCGTAGATTTTACTAGTTTTATTTTGTGGTCTCTTTTGCCTAAAATAAATCTAAGAAGCTTCCTCCTAACTGGTTCATTAAAACTTACCTCACACTTGAACACGGCCAATGTCCACCCAAAAGTCTCTATCCAATATTGATCACCACCCCACAAAGGCCCTGACACATGTTCCCTTTTAGATTCTCAATCTCAAAACTGCCTCAGGAACATGTCTCAATAATTTTTGAGATGTGATCTCAAATTCCACACAGTGACGTTCAGAGAAGCCAGTACTATCTCAAACCACCTTGAAGGCAAGGCTGCTTCATCAGTGAAGAACTAACCTTCCTTCCTACACCTTTAAAGAAGGTATTTCTGAAGACAATCCAAGGTCTGTAAGAGATCTGGGGTCTGAGGTTTGGTTGGGTAAGGTTTGGTTTCGTTAACTAAATGTAAGGATGTCGCAAGATCTCTGGGATGTCTTTATAGATCCTTAGGGAACTTGCTGTGGTGATGTAAGCCACTTAGCTCCTAAATCCATCTTTGACATACAAATCACTACTCAGCTTTTTAAATCCACTCATTTTGAAAGAATGGTAGGCAAATTACTTCATTTCAAAAGGAGACCTAATTATATAAAATAGAAATACCAGGCATCACCTATTTAGAATTAAAACCAACAGGGAGACAAATGTATCTCTAACACCTTTCTCCAACCCTAAAGAAGATATGGAGACTAGCACAGAAGGTCAATGTGAGCATTTTTTTTCCCCCACCATAAGTCACAAGCACAACTGTCTTGAAAATAATAATGTCTTAGAAAATGCACAATGAATTGACCCAAAGATGCCATGAAAGTGTTCAGGCTCCCGGCAGGAAGAGTTAAACACAGTGAGGTGACAGCTCAGGAACTCAATGAAGAAATACAACACTGCCCAATGTCTTGGTGCGATGTTCTGCTCAATGGCCACAATAAGAAATGCAGCAACACGTTTCACCGTTCTCCTGACCCACTTTCCTCTGTTTTACCTTGGCTTAGCATAAGCCAAACTCTACCAAATACAGGGTGCCCAATATCATGAAATCCATTCCCTTTTTAAACTGTTTAAAGGAAACTGTTTACAAGTAAAAATAATCACAAACATGTGCCTGTAGCCTTCCTTGCTCCTCTTAAGTGCAGACCACTTTCACTTTAATTCCAACACTCTGTAAACCTGCCTTTCTGGTCCATAAACAAAGGGCACAAGAAAGACAGCCCATGGGGCTTGTTGAAACTGCTGCCCAGACCCCACCACATCTGAGTCAGAATCTGAAAGATAGTTCCAACCCAACTGACTGAGTTAGGAGCTCTGTACACGACAAGTTCAAACCCCAATTTTCAAAATAAAAGCATGTGCACTAATATATGTAATTAAGGAAATAACGCTAAAATGTATCTCCTCCACAAACCTCTTCATACAGCATTGTATATCAGACACTTAATCAGAAAATCAAATTGAAGACACTTGCAATTATGACCACTAGGAAATCAGAGAGAACTAAACAGATGATACTTTGGAAACCACAGTAGAGGTGTGTACTTCAAAGCTGTGTTACTTAACAGACGAAAAGTCCCATTTTTTTACTGGATTTCTCTGCTACATCAGAAATGTCATTATGTCAGGGAAGGGGGAGGTTAAAGATTTTGTTACATATTAAGTATTAAAATTATTGGACTAGACATAAATAACAAGTATTAGCCAGCTAACAAAAAACAAGTAAATTTCAAAATATTCATCCATGAAATGTTACTCTTGTATCTGATGTATTGTTGAGTTTAACTGCTATGATAAAACTTATCTTTTTAAAGAAAAGGATTGGAACATCCCCAATCCTTAACCTCAGCTGTAGATGAAGTTCTCCTTACTAACAGAGCCAAGAGAACAAGCTTGTGACAGAGAAGTCCCATGGGATAGAAATAAACCTCAGGAATTTGATTGTCTAAAGGCACAGGTGTGAAAACTAGAGAACTTCATGGAAGAGAAGCTTGACCTTCCTCCTGGAGCAGACGAGTAAATCTAGAGACCGAGGAACCAAAAGTGTAAGGCCTGAGACTTGGTTTCCAGTTTTGGGTCCCCAAGCTATCACCTCACACTGGCTCACGTTACAAATGTTGAATTGCATGTAGTCCTTCTTAAGCAGTGAAGGTATACAAAAGATACATGTAAAAGTCCTAATAGTGTAAATGCCTATGCTTCCACACAGAGTCTGAAAAGGAAAAACCTAGTCAATATATCGGAAGCCACCTGCACACCCTTTCTCCTTTGCTTTAGATTAAATTTTAACTAGTATTTACAATTGCTCGAATGATCTCGCATGTTCCCTTGTTCCCAGAAAAATCATCCTATCTATATTGTTCAATAAAATTAAGCACTCTTAGCAGTTCACATCACCCGTGGTGAATGGATCTCTTGTACAGCCCGCACAACCAGAGTTCAAGTTCATAGGATTCACATTAGCACAGAAAACTTTCTTATAATTGCACTGTTCCCACCTATGAGGCAACAACACAGATAAGATTTTGACATGCCTTACAGGAATAGCTGCTATCCTGTACCAGGGTTGAATTTCCATAGGGTTCCTGTCTGTCCACCAGGCATATCCCCAGGGCTCATGGAAAAAAACAAACCTGCTCAAAGACTTCCTTTCAAAGCACAGGTATTCCAGCCAAGGAAAGCTTCAGAAGGAAAAATGGACTCCTCTATAGTCCCTTAATGTTTTAAGAAAAATCCCCTCAAAGATAGTTCTTAAATGTAAGAGGAAGAAGTGACCAATGACTCCCTCTATACAACTTGGCCATTGTCTTTCCTAAAAACAACCCCTGAAAGGTCACAAAGAAGGTCATCTTCATCATTATCCTAACACTGAATCTTGTTCAGCGTGTTAATTTATTGCAAACATCACATTTCTTCAGATGGCTTCGTATAAATGGAACTAGGTATAATTATCTGTATTAAAGAATTTGCTTCATTTTTATTTCACTGGCCTGTCTCTTCTTCCCTCTCCAAACACCTCTACCAACTCTTTCAATAACACAGTTACCTATCTGGGCATCAGACCAGTGCTCACCCTGTGCCAAATGTTAATGCATCTGAAATCCACTACCTTTTTCACTAACCTGCTAAAAGCCTTGAGCAGCAGTCAAAGAAAAAGAAAAAAGGGAACTCACGTCAGAAGTAAATTATCAAACTCTCTATCTTCCACCTGAAGGACTGCCTGTCTTCTGGTATTTCCCTTTGTCAGCTCTCAACAGAGAATGGCAGAGCAGAGCCAAAAACCAGGGAAGGCGAGAGCAGCAGGTTCTGTCTCTGACAATTGCCCTCCCTTGCCAAAGCCTGAGGACCTCTGCCTCCCACCCCAGGGTTCCAACCTTGGTAACTATGAAGGAAGGCAGAGGCAGAAGGATGTTATAAGTACAAGCGGGGACAGATTTAGACACAAAATGAAGAAGAATCTCCCAGTGCCAAAGGATAAACTGCCTTGTAAATTAGAAGATTCAGCACTCACCTGGCAGGGTTTATGAAGTCAGATCACCTGAGTTCTAATCCCAGCTCTGGCAGTTTCAAGCTCTAAAGCCTTTATTCATTGAATAAATATTTATCACTAGGCACGGACTTGGTGCCGGGGATGTACTGGTCCCTGGTCTAGTGGGAAGAATGTTAACAAATACTTAATACCTTTCTTAAAGTACCAGATAATGATAAGAACAGTAGAGGGAACTTAAATAATGTGATACATTCAGGAGTGACTAGGCTTGCCATGGTAATACTTATCTGTAATCCCAACACTTGGGAGGCTGAGACAGGAGGATCAGTTTAGGCTACATAGCAAGACCCTGTCTCAAAAATAATTAATAAGTGGGGAGCTACTTTCCAGAGTCAGGAGGGAAAACATGACAAGGAACAAAATAAAAACAGAGAAAAGAAAAATGTGCAAAAGGCCTTGGTGGGAGGGGCACTACTGAGAAGTAGAAAAAAGGCCAGAGCAGCAAACTACTTCTGTATGCTCGTGTTCGTCATCTGTACAACAGTGGTTGTGAGGATTAAACTCAGTACTGCATCTGCTCACAGTATGTGTCCAGTAAACGTGAGATGCTAAAAACATAAATAAACATAACATGCTAGAATTAGTGTCATCATCATCATCAGTATTCATAAGACCCAACCATTAGAGGCCAGGTGATCACATCACAAGCATGGCTTTCCATGGCCTCAACAAGAAGAGGCCAGGATTAGACAAGAACACAGAAGGTAAAGAAGAAATGACAAAACCGTTATTCTCAGGCTTCCTGCCCAAGGTTTATAAAAGAACTGACTCATACAACAATGAGTTTATCCAACTAATTCATCCAACATAACACGGCCCTGTCCCAGAGAACAAGCCTGGGCTGCGACACACCACACAGCACTGTGAAGAGCAGTTTTCAAGTGCATTTGTCGCTGACTGAATGAAATAATAGTGGGGGACTCTCTGAATTTGGATGCATCCCAAACCACTTTATTATTTCCCATTTTACAATGTGCGAAATTTATATGTATCACATACTCCAACAGCAATATATTTCACTTAAAAGTTATTATTCTTGGTCTTCTGGCTCAAAATCTTAACCAACTTGCTAAGCCTTCTGAAGCACACTAATGAAGGCTGTCAATAATATAGCTATTGATGACAAACTTGCCAAGTAGCCCTTAAAGAAGAGAAAGGTCTACTTTTACCCAGACCCAAATCCTTGATCAACAAAGATCAAATATTTTCCAGTTTTTTCCTAAACTTTACTCACATCCAAGTTAAATGCACTGCAGCCATAAATAAGTATGTGGCTTTGATGTTCATGAAACTAATCCATTACCTACCCTTGATAACTTCATTTGCTTAGATGGTGGAAATAGCTCCTAAACATAAAACAAAAACCATCACACACAGCATAAGACAGAACTAGGGAAAAAACGTATATGTATTTTATTATGCAAACTTCTTGACTGTCCAAACTCAAGGACTTGGAGAAGAATCTTCATAAACCAAGAGACTGAACTGATCAATATATATTCAATATTAGTGTCCCCCTAATGCAATCCCCCGAAAGAAACTAGAGAAGCAGGTTATGCTCAAAATTTTCCATTAAGAAAATATTCCTTCTTAAAAAAAGAAAAGGCAACAAATTCAGCACCAAACATGTTCAGTGAGGAACTTTTAAAACTACGTATTAAATATAGATAATTACTACAACTTAAGGTAAAAATATAAATTTTGAGACGTGACCACTACAGTATCAAAATAGTACCTTCCTAAAAGCAAAATGGAGACTAGCGGGCTCATTTAAATCCAATTGTATCTACTGGCTTTTGCAACATAATCCAGCCAGAAGAATGTGATTCATATCTCAGCTATGCAACAGCTAAATTTTCAATGTGTTTTGAAGTACACGCCACTAAAGAAAAGAGTAACAGTCATAACTTTGGCATTAAAACACCGCAGGCAATTCAAGAGTCTTTAAAATATAAAATTAAGTAATACAAGTACATCAAAGAGCTTTAGAAAATATACATGGCACCGGAGGGGGTGAATTCAAATATGAAACATTTAATATATTGTAAGAACTACCTCAAATACTCCACTGTACACCCACCCAGCACAACAATAATAAAAAGAAAATACAATTGGATTAAAAAAAGAAAAATAATGACCATAAATGCCAATATGACCACTGTTAATATTTTAGTGTATATTCCACAAATTTTTAAGATATTTTGACATAAATGGCTTCACATACCATGTTTTTAAAATTAACAATATATGAAAAACAATATTTCTATGTTCATATACATATACATTTATATATTTATATATGTACACTAACAAACATATATATACACATATCAATTTCACTTTTAACATTACTTTTTTTTTTTTTTGGCACTGGGGTTTTGAACTCAGGGCCTCACGCTTGCTAAGCAGACACTCTTACTGCTTGAGTCACTCCTCCAGCCATATCACTTTTTATGAGTACACAATCGTCTACTTTATGGATATAGTCTAAGTTAATGAGTTCCACTAGGATTCTTAGATACTCTATGGTAGAGAAACAGAGTAAGTTTATCATTATTTCTTAAAGTTACTTGAGCATGACATCCTTTTAAAATTACATGTTAATGATCTTAGAACTTGTGAGCCTTTCAAAATACTTTGGGAAATAATGACCAAACCAATGTCCAATACTGGATTTTTATGGTGATTCCAATTTTTTCTATTACAAATAACACTGTGATAAACTTCTTGAATGTACATTACATGTCCTACCTGGGGGAAAACTTGGAATTGCTTAGCCAATTCATATACCCTTGTTACAAACCCATTAAATTCAATTCTCAACACTGTTTTTGACAAACTATCTCCAGCAATGTATGAGTGTTATTAGCCTTTATAAACGACAATTTTAAATCTAAAAAATATTTTAGAAGTTTTTGTGCTTACCACCCATGTCCAGTATTTTACAACTTATATAATTACTCTTTAATGGACATAGCCAAAGTACCAGTTATAAATATCAAAGGTCTTACTGCAATGGAGGTAGACTCAGAAAACTGCTTATAAATACACCTCCTCACAACTCATAGAACATGGCTAGTATGAAGACATTAAATTGTCTCTCTTCCATTCTCCTTGCCACTTTTACGTATTTCCAAATGTATATTTTGTAAATATTCGTTTATTTATATACATCTCAAGTGGTAAAGCACTTGCATAGCAACTGTTTAATTCCCAGTAAAGGGGGTGGGGAGAGAGATCAGTAATCCCTTACTTTAATGTAATACTTTATACCAGTAAAACATTAAAAAAAAAAAAAAAACAGTTTAGAGGAACAGGACATTTGAAATCATACTTTAAAACATATACCATAGGATATGAAGCTATACCTCCAAAAGATACTTCAAGCTACACAAAAGTCACTGCATATTTACAGCCAAGTCTGTAATATCTAAACCCCTTACCAACCAACCAGCACCAGTATCACGAGAAAATATGTATCTGAAAACAGCTAATTTCAATTTTATTTTTGGCATATAGTGCTACAGCTTCAAATAATAAGAAATAAGCTCCTACCATAATGTATGAATGGTTCAGACAGAAAAAACAGGGTTTGGGTTTCTTTTTTTATTCTTAATGTGACACTAGATATAATTTTATAGCTTAAAGTAACTCTCAAAGTTACTTAAGTATAGTGTTCACACCCAGGGTAGAATTCTGTGTAATTTGCAAAAAAAAAAAAAAAAAGTCCTACCTGCTCAAAATATCTCCAATTTAAGCCACTCTAGGAATCAAATTTGAAGGTTTTTACAAATACAGAAACGTATTCAATAGGTCTGGAGTGCAGCCAATGCATCTGTATTTGTAAAAACTCCCCAGTTGATTCACTTGTGCAGCCAGAATGGAAAAAACATTCAGTTATATAATAATACTATCTCGAGGTCCCCACTCTAAGAAAAATGGTCATATGAAAACCATTCATCTGTCTTAGTCTGGTTGATCCAATTACCTAGGGGAAAACTGCACCTTCAGAGGGTTCATAAGAAACTTCAAAAAGGGGAGTGAATGTAGGATGCCTTTTGGCCTAGCATTGGCCTCCAGGATGAAAGGGGGACATGGTAATAAAAGCAAACCATGAGAAGATCCTTCCTGCCAGAATATATAGTATTCCCTACTTCTAGCATACAGTTCCTTTAAATTTTCAGAAAATAAAGGGAAAACTCTCAGCTGGATTTGTGCATTCTTGTGGTGTAGTCTTAGAACTGAACAACACTCAGCTACAAGTAGCAATTTCGCCAAGCAATGCCAGTCAACAGACAACGAGACAAAACCAGGTTGAAAAATTAAAATAGGACACTCAGAGACATTATATTACCTTCTGCAAACAAAAAAATGGTGGTTGGTCAGAATTAAGTTTCTCAAAAGAAGTTTGCCTGAGAAAAACAATGCAAAACAAGCGAGAAACCTATGTCTTCTAAATGGTTTATGCATCAAATCCAGAGTTACCGTGAGGCTCCATTACTTACCAGATCTAGACTTAATGATGTCACTGAACTCATTCTGCCCATCATCAGGCCTGGCTTCATGTTCACCATACTTGGCCATATTGGCTGAATTTCAATGTAATCCAAAGACTTTCCCAAATCCTCTTTTTAAGACTTTTAGCTTTGTAGAATGGTCCAGTTTGACATTAATACCTAAAAAGAAAAGGAAAAGTAATATATATGCATATACATTCCTATATCATTTAATACATATTTATATGTGGTAACTTATTCAGCAAATATTTTTTGAGTGCCTGTCATGTCTAAGACACAAATCCAGGCCATGCAGACTTGACTGTGAAAAGACACATAGCTGCTGCCATTATGGAGCTCACAGACACTAAGCAATTAATTATTTAATGAATTATTTCATTATAATACTGATAGTCTACAAACGTACAAAGGAGAAGCATTAAGTAATAAGAGCAAACAGCAGAGGAATCCTACCAGCTCAGAGCAATTGAGAAGGCTTTCTTGAAGAACTGACATTTGAGCCCAGCCTTCAAGGATAAGAAATTAATTAGTCAAAAAAGGAAGTGGAAAAAATAAGAGCTTCACATGTGAAGGAGCAGAGAGAATCAAAGAGCAAAGAGTTAAGGCGAGTGTTTCTGAAGACAAGACAGCCAAGAAACAAGAGCATCTGTCAAACCAGGAAAGGAAGGAAGGCAGGAGCAGAGATGGCCTTGGAGACCATGTCAAGGTTCCTGGTCCTTATCTAAAGAGACTGGAGATCAGCAGATAGCTTTAAGAAGGGAGGTGACATGGTCAGCCCTGCTGACACTGGCTTATAGATGGGCCACAGTAGCACGTTTGGAAGCAGTAAAGACATGGCAGAGTACAACAAAATACTAACTGAGTACTAAGCTATGTGCATATGGTTATTGAATGAAAAGTTACATGCTGGAACTTTTTTATTATAATATATTGAGGAAAAAAATTCCTAAACTTGACCAGTGATCAAACTTTACATAGCCAACAATGGGGCACCATTCGATACATCTATACAGTATCTTTGCCAAAATGTTTAATGTAAGATTACCACAAACAGAAAAATCCCAATTGTGGGTAGTTGTCAAATCAAATAGCCTGGTCCCTTCAAAACTGTCAATGTCCCCAAAAGCAAAACTACCAGGCGGAGGAGGAACTTTGTGGGTTAAAGGAGACTAAAATAGACATACCCGCCAAACGTGATCCTTGACTGAAATCAGAATCTTAAAACATTTTGGAGATCATTTTAAAGTAAGAATTTGAACTATACATTAGGCAATATACATTAGACAATAATATATGTTGAATCTCTTTAACGTTACTTAACGGTGTTGTTCTGCAGGAGAATGTCTTTGATTGAAGGAGACACCTAATGAAATATTTAGCAATGAAATGTGACAATCCCTTCACTTAATTTCAAACAGGACAATATCTATCTATATATGTATGCATATGGATATTTATTTATATGTGTATAAAGAGAGATACACACACAAAGACAGAGGAAGTAAATACTATCAATAAGAAGGGAAGACAATTTAAGGGACACCTGGGTATTTACTATACTAATCTTTGTATTATAAGGAAAAAAATTCCTTTGTATTATAATATTATGGGAGGTATGTGACTGTGGCCTAAACAGGGAGGATGGAAAGAAGAGTGAGTGAATGTGTGGACATCTTATTTAATAAAATAAGGAATGTCAGTAAGATTTGGGAACTGATAGGACATTAGGCATTCAGAATGCTAGCATACAGAATGACTCCCCAGTTGTGGCTGGGCAATTTGGGGGGGGGGCGGTGAGTCATTCATTGAGCTGGAGAGCAATGAAGGAGAGCAGGTAGGGAGGAAGAAATAATGAATAGTTTGGATTTGCTGAGGTTGAGGGGAGAGGTCAAAGGGCAGTTGGAAATGCAGATGGGGGTGGGGGGGTCTCAGGAACACTCTGGATTTGAGATACAGATTTCACTGGCTATATGCTCTGTCCACTAACACAGGCTTTATTTTGGAAGGTTCATCACCGAAGTCCTGCTGAGTGATAAAATAATCCTCAACTGTAGTAAGTAGTGAAAAGAATCTAAAGAATTGAAAGAATTGAAGATTCTGCCCTGCAGCACCACGTTTTCTTTAAGAATGCTAATTGTGAGAGTTCTGCATTGACTCACTGCTTCCTGGAACGCACGGCCTTACCAACCCATGGAGAAGAATTCAATTTTAACCTCAGCAGTCTGTCTCTATCCACATAACAGCCCCTTTAAGAGTACCCCGAATGCCAATTAAACAGGTTAATCATTTAATTGGGAATTTAACAGTCAACACATCCAAACACTAATCTACAAATAAGGTATATTAATTCACATAGTAAAACAAGTATCAGAAGCAGGGCTTATATCTAGCCAGGACTGAACAACTCAATCCTCTAATTCAAAGATAAATCATATGGTATGGCTATTTTACAATATATAAAAGTTTATATGATATTAGAATTGTACATATTTTTATAATACGATATTCAAGAAATAAACCACACAAGATTATTATGTAAATATAAACAATATATAATACCTTTTTTCTGACCAGGTCAGAAAATGAGTATATTCTACTATAAGAGCAAAATTACTTAGAAAAGTTTTAACAGATGAAAGCTGGTAAAATGGTAAAGCTTAGAGAACCTTTTTCTCTGGTATGGAAGAATTTATGGATTGGATAATCCATATATGAGAGCATAAAAAACTTTTTAAATTTTTATATGGCTTTACTGCTATTAAGAATTTATGAATTATTGTGATGAAGTTCCTGTTTTCAGACACAAAACTATAAAAGACTTGCTAGATTCTTTTTTTTTTTCTCCCGGTACTGGGGGTTGAATTCAGGGCCCTCACACTTGCTAGTCAGGTACTCTACCACTTGAGTCACTCCACCAGCTCAACTTGCTAGATTGTTAAGTGTCTGAGTATATTCAATAACCAGAAACTGCTGGAAGTACAGCTCAAATGGTAGAGCACCTGCCTACCAAATGTGAGGCCTTGAGTTCAAATCCCAGAATGGCCAAAAGAAAAAAAAAAAAAGAACCAAAGACCTTATTCAAAAGAATGTATAGAGCCAGGTGTGGTGGTACACACACCTGGGACTACAGAATCCCAGCTACTTGGGAGGCGGATGTAGGAGGATCAAGGTCCCAAACCCACCAGGGCAAAAATTGAAACCATAGGTAAAAACAAACTAATGCAAAAAGGGCTGGGGACCTGGCTCAAGTGGTAGAGCACTTGAGGCCCTGGGTTCAAACCCCAGTTCTGCAAAAAAGAATAAAAAAATTTTAATTATGGAAAATCAGGTTTGCTTAAGAGAAATTCTCTTTCCTGGCAAGAACTCGTCTCTTTGAGAAATGAGTGCTATGCTCTCCTTCACAACTGGTTTCAGCCAAGGGTCTCCACATCAATGCTCTTAAAGACATTTTCCACTCCACAGACAAAAGCAGACTGTTTATATAGGACTTCATTTCATTTACAGGTGGCCAGAAATACTTCTTCACTACAATGTTTTATTTCCTTATTCTCCTTAAGATAATTTTCCCTTCTTGATCATGAAAATCTCATATATACTGTGAAAATATAGCAGGAAAAGGTGATCAAAGGACCAGAAAAGAAAGATGAGGAAAGAGAACAAGAGAAAGTCATTAACACAAGTAATAGCCCCTGACTGTTGTGGCTGCCACGTTGTAATGGCCAGGGAACTCTGGTTTGAGTAGCAGAGGTAAAGTCTGTCTCCTTCTAAGTCACCAAAGAGGCAGCAACTTATAACTGGTTGTGGGAGGCAGAGTCAAAGTCTCACCACTAACAACCTGCCCCCAAGCCAGCTTCCACTGGCACACTGTACTATGGAGGGAATGCCAGCCTCCACACAAAGCCAAGTGAGAAGCAGAATAACCAAATGGGACACTGCTGAGGGGCCTGAAGCCTTAAGCAACTGTAACAAGTTACAATTGCCCTGGGGTTGGGGGGTGGGGCGGGGAGAGGTGGGGGGGAGTGGCCCAAAAAACGTATATACATGCGAGTAAATGAAAAATGATAAACATATATATTTATCTATATAAATATACACAAATATGTATATATTTTGTATATACAATATAGTATATACAAAATATATATAGTAAATACAATATATATAGTATATACAATATATATATTTATGCATATATATATTTATGTATATATATATATATATATATACACAAAAATAAATAATTTTTTTTAAAACTGCCCTAGGGGTTCCCTCCCTTCAAAGACATTCTATAAAGTTTAGCCAGAGGCTTCCTTATGAAACCGACCCACTCCACTGCACATTCACCGTCCCCTCCTTGGGAACATTTCTCTGTGTCCTACAAACCAGAAGGCAAAATTGTGTGGCAACAAACCTAAGGTGCAAAGGCAGGGGATGGCCTTAAAGGCAAAAGTAATGTTTTATTTTTTAACTTGGGAATCACACAATATAAGAATATGCAACATCCAACAAGGTGCCATTTTGAACAAACATTCAAGAATAGGAAAAGGTTTAAATTCTTGGGCAAAAACTCTCCCTTTCCACTAGGACCCAAAGCCTGGGAATGCCGGAGTCAGTACGTTGGAAGGGAAGCCACGGGAACCGGAGTTGGCCACTCTGCTGGAACCGTAGTAAAGAAAGCGCCGAGTGCCAAGAACTGCCATTCACACTCGCAAGCGCTCCAGGCAAGGTTAATACTGCTGTGATTAATGCTGTTTACAGGAGCAATAAATTTTAGGTAAACACCCAAAGGAGAGTTAAAGAGCCGTCTCATCCGTCCCGTAAATGCCGGCAAAGGGGGCGGGGGACCGCTCCACCGAAGCCCTGGCCCTCGCCGCCTGGTGCTCGCGACACAAGTGCCCAAGAGCTTCGCATTCCTTCAGCTCTCGCCGACCCGCGCTGTCCCCCCCCCCGAGCTGCGGCCCCCGGAGCGGCGTGCAAGGTCCCGACCCCAGCCATCCAGCCTCACCCGGACTCGGGACGCTCTGGCCACCAGGGCCCCTAGTGCACCAGGGGAACTGACCTGCGAGGCCCCGGTGACCTAGGTGACCTGAGACTGGGAAAGAGGACGCGCTCCCCGAGACACCCAGGGAGTGGAGGCCGTGGAGTTACACCCCGGCCACACAAAAGTGTGGGTTCCTAGCTCCGGGAAGTCGGACACGTTTTCTCCTCCCCAGTCTCTGGGAATCCGGCTTGAAAAGAAAAGTCTCTTTTGACGATGTGCCCTATGAAAGTTGCACGGCCTACAATTACCGCTTTGCTGGTTTTGTAAGTGGCCTTGGGCAACCAGAGCCTCGGACCGCGAGCCAAAGGAGGACATGAATTACCTTGCCAGTTGCAGCAAGAGATGCCACGGGTCCGGGAAAACAGGCGACGGCGCGGGAACACGCACCAATGGGACACCCCTGTCCCCTCAGCTTCTCCAGAGCTGAGTGTGATCGCGCCACACTCCAGAGCCCCACACTCGGGAGCCGTGACCAGCCAGGGGTCGAGCACGTCTGCGGCCAGGTCGCTGGCTGGGAAGCACTCCCCTGCTCGCCACCGCACCACCACCCTCTCCTGGCGGACACCGCCGGGCCCCGCCTTCCCGGAGCCTGGGCGTGTGACAGGCTCTCTTAGAAGGCCACGTCCCCTGTAGGAGATCACTGGCCCCGCGCCCCGCTGGGCGCAATGCACAGACTCGGGACCCTGTCCCCCGGCGGGAAGGAGGGTTTCAGGAGCAAGGCAAGGAGTTGGAGTCCCTCGTCACTACTACGGATTCCGAGGACCTTCTCGCCGGAGCCCTCTCCTCGCTTCTGCGGATCCCTCTCCCGCCCCGGGAGGCAGAACTGAGCTTCCGAGGAACGCGCACGCAAAAGTTGGTTTCAGCTGCGACCGGGACCCCGGGCGGAAAAGCCGCAGCAAGGTCGAGCCTCCTCCCAGCCCCCGCCCCATTCCCTCGGGGCTGCGTTCCCAGAACCCCAGGCTGAGGCTCCAGGAACGCACAAGCTTACCTGCTCGCCCGCAGGCCGCCGAGCCTGCCCGTGCCGCGTCCCGCGCGGCCCAGGGCTCCTCGGAGCGGGTTTGGATGGTGGCGATCGCGGGGGTGTGCGCGACGGGGAGTTTGGTGCTGCTATGGGGGTTGGTCTGTTTGGGTTTTTTTTTTTGTGGGGGGGGGTGTTTTGTTTTGTTTTAAATGAAACGTGAAGCACTAGACAAGATCCGATGAAGAAGAAAAAAAAAAATTGACACCCGATTGGAAACGCCCCTGTCTTGTGCAATCTTCCTGCCCCGTAGTTCCGCCAAAAACAAAAACAGTCCAAGTGCAAACCTGGGGCCCGCACGCAGGCACCAAGTTGGCCAAACACTAATTTTCTGTCTCCAGGAATGACCCAAAAGAAGGGAGCACCGCTCCCCAAGACTCCCCGGTCCTCGGTCCCGGCGGGAGAAAGCCCGCGGCCGGCGGCTGCCGCTCCCCCTCTCCGATCTCTGGCGACCAAGCGACTCCACAACTTTGTGCGCGCGGGCGGCTGGCCGCGGCGCCGGCTCCTCCCAGTCCTCCCCGCCGCGGGCCGCCCCTTTGTTGGAGAGGAGCGCGGCGGGCCGAGGAGGGAGGTGGGGCGCGGGGACGGGCGGCCCCGCCGCCACCCCCGGGGAAGGGCTCGCGTCCCCGCACCCGGGGCTTCTCCCTCGCCAGGAGGCCGCGCAGATCGGAGCCACCGGTCCGCACCGCTCCAGCGCTCCGCTCCCCCTCGGCTCCCCGCCCCGCCGCCGGCGGCCCGACAACTTTCTTCCCGGAGATCGGTCCTTCTTGGCTCCGGGTTTGGCCCCGGCCGGGCCTCCGCGGCCGTACAGCTACCAAGCTCCGGGAACGTGGCGCCCAGGGTCACCTGACCGCAGCCCGGTCAATCAGCGCCCGCCCTACGCACCCTTCCCCGCCCGCAGCGAGTGGCTCCTGCAGCGCGCCCTGCGCGGCACCCCGGCCGAAGTGTGGGTGCTGGGAGCGGACACTAGAATGAAAGCCTCCCGCACACATGGCCCTCTTTATTCAGATTCTCTGAAAATGTGAGTCAAGCCCTCTAGGACTCTAGTTAGGGTGACTTTTTTTAGATGAATCTCAACTGACCCCATCTCATCTTGGTGACGTTATTATTTTTTCTTTTGGTTCTAGATCCAAAAGTGTATTTATTTTACATACCTTTCTCAAAGTCGTGATATTATAACCACTCTTTGCACTTTTCTCCTGTTAAAAATACAGATTCTTTTTGGAACCCATGGCCTCCTGCATCCCAAGCACACAGTACCACTGAGCTACAATCCTAGACCTATTTTACATAATTTTCTTAATGTTTTCAATATTCTGAAAATACTTGAAATTTCATTTCATATTAGCTCATATATGCAAATAATGTTTGCGCTGACCTTATTTTTCTGTTCTTCCAATTTACACACAAAAACATCTGTCCATAGTACCTGTCCCAGTCTTAAGGGGTTGGTCAAAAAATACCTTGGGAGAAGTGAACTTTTGCTCATTTACACTTTTCATTCCCGTATGTTGATGTGATTCTTTAACATTATCATCACACTTGGGAGAGAAAAGCAAAAACAACACTAAAGTTCCTAGTTCCTATAAACAAAGGGGAAAGGATGGTTGATAGATGAGTTCTGGCTTATTGCTGACTTGATATTTAAGAGTTAATTTACAAAGCAGTAAAAGGTAAATCATTAGGGACCTTGAATAAGTTTTTCAGATAGAATTCACTGCCCTTTTGTTAGTTATGAACTGAAAACCTCCCAGACTCTGTGCTGTGGGATTGTTGGTCCTGAAAGAGGCTTCCTTACAAGGTTTCTGGCTTAGCTTCCTTCCTTTTGGGGACTTTCTTCGTGTAAACCAAATAAAGTCCTAAGTATCAACCCAGAAAGGGAATGGTTGATTCATTCACTCTCATCCCTTCCTTCATTTAACAAACACCAGTCTGGGGCCTACCAGGCCTATGCAAAGAAGTCTGATAGACATCTTTCCATTAAAGACTATAGAATCCATCCAGTAGATGACATAAAAGACATTCAACATCCACAATAAGTGCCATAAGAAGAGAACAGATCAAATGCTACCTGATAATTCTATTTCTCCCTGTGTCCAGGTTGTATTGGTAAGCTTTTCATCACTGTAACAAAGTACATGACAGAAACAACTTACAGGAGGAAAGATTTATTTTGGGTCATGGTTTCAGAGGTCTGCACTCAAGGTTAGCTGCATCTACTGCTTTGGGTCTGAGGAGGCAGAATATCATGGCAGGGAAAGTGTGTGATAGAGGCTGCTCACTTCAAGGTGGCCAGAAGTAGAGAGGGTCAGACAGAGGGGCTGCAAGAAGATACAACCCCCCAAGGATACACACACCCTCGGTGACCTACTTCCTCCACGTAGGCCCTGCTTTGAAAGTTTCCATCACCTCTCAATAATGCTGTTAGGATTTGAATCCATCAGCGGATTAACCATCATCAGAGTCTTCAGGATTTGACCAGCTCTCCATGATTGGGTCTACCAGTCCTAAGTCCTTTTGGGGACTTCGTAGCCACACTGTAACACTGATGGAGTTAATGGAAATCAGATTTGTCCCTTTAAAATAGAAAACAAAACAAGTTGGAGTGTTCATGACTTTGTCACTCAAAAAGCGATGCAAGTGTAGAGCACTTTGTGAATTGTGAACTGCAGCACAGATATTATTTTGTTCAGTTTTTTGTATAAAACAGATGTTTTGTGTCCTGTAATTCCTGAATTTTTTTCATGAACATTTTCCTATGACAATAATGACTCCTCTGCTGACAACATGATTTTTATCTTTTTATTTTTTTATTTTACTTTTTATTTTATTCATATGTGCATACAAATTTTGGGTCATTTCTCCTCCCTTCCCCCCCCCTGTAATTTCTGAATTTTTAAGCTCTGAAGAAATATTAACTCATGTTCTCTGAAAGCCATATGGAAGGGACATGAGGGACAAAGCCATCGTCTGCATGTGACCACATCACCTCCAGAGGACGACAGGGAGTTACTGGACCAACTCTTTCTAGCTCTTCTCCCCTGGACAGAAGATGGTAATTCTTGAAGGTGGTGGTCAAAGAGGCCAAAGAAAGTCTCAGTGGAATGACGAAGTGGTCCCAAGCCAGTCCTGCTCCTTTGTTAGATGAGGAAGCCACATTTGGCAGGAGACCTGGAGCACAGGGGGCTCTATTTCCATGCAGTACACTGTGTAATCTTCCCTTCACATCCCCAAAATCTAGTTTATGGCATGGTGGAGAGGGGCCACCAGGAGACTGGGGAGTTATTAGTGTACCTGCAAAACACACACACACACACACACACACACACACACACACACACACACACACACACACACACACACACACACACACACACACACACACACACACACACACACACACCGCAGGGGCACTGACAGTGCCTGCAAGGCTTTGCCCATCAGAAAGATCACTGTAGGGCATTTGGAAAAGCGATAAGAACAGAGCCCTGGGCTACTATTAATCCAGAGTCAGAATTGCCCGACAGTCACCATGGAGCAGGAACATTCTTTTTAAAGAAAACTGTATTTGTGACCCAGTAGGAGAGAAAGCCTTTCACACCAAAAAAATTATGATATGGGTAGTGTCTTCATATATAAAGATATTTGCATCATATATGCAATACATATAGACAGGACACACACATTGTATATTGTTCACATACTGGGAACTGCATCATGATATTGTCAACAGTGCAGTTTGTCATCAGAAGACTTCCAAATTCTGTGTAGCCCACCAGAAAGAATCCATGGCAGGACACATGGATGTAAAGGGAGTTTATTAAAAGTTAGGGAAGAGAAATACAAAGGGAAGCATGATGGGGCCTAGATGGAAGCCCGAAACCAAGAGAGGCATTTCTGCTCTCAGGTGCTTTAAAAATGTACCATAACCCACGGGAAGGGGAAACAAGAAGATTCCCACCCAATAATTAATGATTAGGGAGAGGCACGGGAGGCTCCCAGCCAGGTGAGGAAGGTTCCTGAGGCAAAGCATGGTTAATCTAAGATGTAATATTTTTTTCTTTGAGTCCCAAACTTTCCCTATTTTAGTCTGCCTCAATATGAGAGCTGAAAAGAAAATATTCTCTACCAAACTTTGTGTAAAAATATATGAATACAATTTCTCTTTGAACAATAGAAAAATGGGAAAATGCACAAGTACTAAAAAAAAAAAAAAAAAATCAAGACATTCCTTCAGCTTTACCCCTGCTGCAGATAAGGGGTAAAGAGGTGGGGGAAAGTTAGGGCATTTATCATTTCTAATCTTTCTCGGGTCAAGAAAATGCAAACCTGAGGCTTGTATAGAAGAGATAATAGAGGGCCGGGTGAGGTAAAGCACACCTGTAATTCCAGGAAATCAGGAGGCAGAGATATGAGGGTTAAAGGTGACCTGGGAAAAAGCACAAGACTCTCTTTAAAAACCTAAAAAGAGGTGTTGGCGGAGTGGGTCAAGTAATGGAGTGCCTGCCTACAAGCGTGAGGCCCTTAGCTCAAACCCCAGTACCACAAAAAAAAA